TAGTATACTAATATAAGTGTTGAGGCAATAAAAACATGTTTTGCACCCAAATTACAATGTGTGTTATGTCTTTAAGAAGCATTTACATAAACTTAACTAACCACCCTTTACACAAACGTTGTTACAGCAGCTAAAAGTCCAATACCCATAAAGGTACTGTATGATTAGTAAATGCTTATAAACATTTACAAATGATGAATAGTTTCCACTTTAGATTGGGCATATGGTCAGTGTGCTGGTCATTTGTTAATATTTGTATGAAAAATCATGAGAAAACTATTGAACAGAGAAGGCCAAACCTTTGCTGCATCCCTGGTAGCACAATTCTGCACATCTGAAAACATAAAAAGTGGTGATTCAAAATTGTTTATCATCTAAAATTTAATAAGTAAAAAAGTCAAACATTGAAATCTATTCATATTACGATGAACTCTATAAGCCTAACAAATATCAACAGGACAGACTTGGTAAGAAAATGTACAAAAATGTGTTTGATTGGATGCATGACCTTTGACGGAAAGGTTTATTTTGCTGATAACAAGAATTTTCTCTCCAACTTTTAAAAGTCAACCAGTTTATTTTTGCAAATCATACATGATTATATAATTAGTTGCATTTTATTCTTTGCATTTAGAATAATTTTCCCTTGCTTTCTGGAACCCTGTCAGAACAGAGCTGAATTTTGCGTGTGACCGCTAAACGACCCACCAGTTGCTAACCACTGCCTCTTTGGAATGTGTATGGTGAGTGGTAAGGTTCTGTTTGCTTGTACTCACCTTAACCATGGCTTTTACATTGCAGTTGATAACATCATGTATTCTCTAGGAGAGGCCACAACATGAAACATATAAATAACAATATGTGATAAACACTCCAAAACTACAACTACTACAACTTTTCACTCTTAAAAATAAAGGTTCTTTATTGGCATCTATGGTTCCATGAAGAAGCTTTGACATCCATGGATCCTTTGCAATGCACAAAACTTTCTTCAGATTTTGAAAATGTTTTTCACAAGAAAGAAAAGGTTATTTTAAAAACTTTAAACTAAACAGTTCTTAAACAGTAACATTTTTCTTGATGGATTCTTCATTTCTTCATGATATTTTTTAACATGTTTCAATGTAGTTATTATGAGTAATGCTCTATTACTACAGTATGTAATACCTCAAATCATTTTCAAAGACTACTACTTCATTAATGAGAGCTGGCAGTAGCATATTCGTTACAGGACTTATAATATTAAAAGCATTAGAAATGACTGTATGAACCGTTGGAGGCCTCACTTCTTCTAAGTCAGAGGTTTCAAGTAGCTTGCAGGGTATTTGGCTGGGCAGAATCCCGACATTGTTCACTGTGTTTAAAGAAAAGTATAACACACTGGATTAGCACTGTTGAACATGGTAGAACTTTAAATAAATACTTTGACACATTGAGATATCTGATGCTGACCTAAAATACCAATATCCAAACCCTTGATCTTTTCTTGAATGTGATCATATATATCATCTTTGGTGAAGTCAGCAGCTATTACTTTGATTTCTTGTCCTGTAGTGAGCTCTGTCAGAACAAGAAAAGAACGCTGGTGAAACTGAGCTCTAAGACTATACAGACAAGTCGAGAAGCTGAAATTCCAGCAGTAAATGCTTTACCGATCTTCCTTGCTGCTCTGTCAAGCTTCTCTTGATTTCTGCTGATGACGATCACACTCATACCTAGTTTTGAAAGCTGTAGAGAAAGACAGTTTTACCAAAACAGCCTAGTGTCTGATACTAGGGACGAGCTGGTGTATTTCTTACTTTAATGTTGAAAACAGTTGTGAATATTTTTGTGGAAACCAGGATACATTTTTTCAGATTTCTTTGAAGAATTAAAGTTCAAAAGAACAGCATTTATTTGACATAGAAATCTTTTATAACATTATAAATGTCTTTACTGCCAATTTTGATCAATTTAATGCTTCCTTGCTGAATAAAAATATTATTTTTACTGTTACCTTTTAACCTTATACCTCTTAATTATTGAACTACTCTAATATCTAATCTAATATCGATATTGTCATAACAAATCACAGTTTTCACAAGGTGGATTTCTTGTTACCTCTTCTGCATATGCTCTGCCTATTCCCTCTGACCCTCCAGTGACCACTGAAACAGGGGAAATATTCAGTATTAGACTTAAAATCATAAACTGGAAGATATGAATGATAATTTGATATTCTCTGTTACTAATTCATTGATTGTGAACAAATGTGATTGACTATTCAAGCTGAGAAATATCATTTAAAAACTATATATATATATATATACTGTATATATATATATTACAATGTAAATAACTATAACCTGCACATAATTTACATTTTTATTACAAAAAATAAGCTTTTGCATCAAGCGTATTCAGAACATGATAGTCTATCTGTTTCCTGTCACTCTCACACTTCAGACGAAAGGCAGTCAGTGTCTGTTTGTTTTAACAACATGTTCTTGAACAGACTGTGTGCACCCACCAATTCACTAAACAAACAGGGAGCATGGGTGGTGCATATGTGTGAAAAGTCATCTTCTCTCCACCACTGTTAGTCCATCTGAGCAGTTCACACTGGTGCTACAAAGGAGTGGGAAGAAAATGGGTGCTGGAGGGCTAGTGGGATGACCAGTTTATAAAACAGAGGAAATGATGTAAGATGTAATTTCCTTCATGCTTTCATTACTTTTGCAGACTGCAAAGGTTTAAAACTAAAGTCTGTGTTGTCTTCTGTGTGGGAAAATTGCTTTTTTGTGTGTATCTTTCTCAGTTTTATTATGTATTATGTATTATATCAGTGTATTATATAAGTAGTATAATTGTAATAAATAAATACTGTTAATAATATATAACATATATTATTAATTACAGTGGATATAGAAAAGAATCACCCCCTTTAAAATAATCACATTTTGTTGCTTTGCAGCCTGAAATAAAGACGGACACAGTTTTTGTTTTATCCAGCTGTATTTACTCAGTGCAACTTATAACATCCAAGTGAAAGATAAAACACCAACATGTCAGAAAAAAAAATAAAAAAACAGAATCACTGAGTTGGAAAAAGGATCACCCCCTCCTAAAAAAATGACTTGTAAACTCAACCAGGTTTAGCTAATCACTTTCTCAATAGCACACAAAGCCATCTGACTTTCAGCTGTGATGAGCTGTGGTCATTTTGATTCGCTCAGCATGAAAAGAGCTCTCCTGCAGCATCTTAGTCCTTGGTAGTGCAACTGAAGCAAACAATCAACTATGGGAGGCAAAGCAGTCAAAAGATCCCTGGGATACATTCTGTAAGAAATGTATTGCTCATTGTTAGTTAATGAATTGGACCTTATTGTGTTACCTGTGTTTTATATATTAAAGGGGTCATATGATGCGATTTCAAGTTTTCCTTTCTCTTTGGAGTGTTACAAGCTGATTGTGCATAGATAAGATCCCTGAAGTTGCAAAGACTAAAGTCTCAAAACCAAAGAGATATTCTTTATCAAAGTTAAGACTCTGCCACGCCCCCCTAAAACGGCTCGTTCTAACACGCCCCCACATATCTACATCACTATGTGGAAATATTTGCATAATGTGCCCAAATGTGCACGCAAAGAAAGAAGGCGTGGTTTCAGTAACCGCAGTTAGTGTTGATGCAGCCATGTCAGGGAGACACTGTGTGTTTCTAGGCAAAAGCAAAAGCACTTTATTTGGCCTTCCGAACGTAGATGCATTTAGGAATCTTTAAGATTACTTACAACAGAACAGCAATGCATTTTATGGATGACCGTTTCGTGAACCTAGGAGAGGAGGTAATTCTGACTTTGCTATGACAATCCGGCGCTTCTGAATCAGCTACTGTTTCGTTATTAGTTTAAGTATTTGCTATTGACTGTCCAAATGAAGAGTTTTGCACATCGTGTGTGTGTGTGTGTGTGCGAGTAATGTACAGTATTTAAAAAATAATGTGTTTTTTGAACATTAAAGCATGTCAACCTATTCTGTTACACCAAATACACAAAATAATGATCTTTAAAAAAGCATCATATGACCCCTTTAATATGACTTGCATTGCATTGAAACATAACTTATGAAACTCAAAACAAACATCTATATTTATTTACATGACTTTTATAACTAAATAAAATAACTAAATTATAAATAAAATATATATTTTTTATTTTATTTTAAAATATTCTTAAGATGGCAAAGTTTTTTAAGCAGCCATTATTCACGTCTTCAGTCACATGATCCTTTAAAAAACATTCTAATATGTTTCTAATATATATGAATGCAAATCTTACAGCATTCAATCATGCACTCATACAGGCTGAACCAATATGCACAACAACTTGCAGAACTGTCATGATTATTTATTTAAAGTGAAAGGAATAGCAGATGTACTGTGTCTAAACATGCGAGAAAACATCCCCTGCAAAGGGACATTGTAATGCACACACTCTCTCTCACACAGACAGACAGACACACACACACACACACACCAGGAAGAACTTTTCAAAGCCTTAAAGTGAAAGAATAGTTGCAGAAGGAGAGAAAAGTAATGTTAATTGGATTTCAAATGAGCAGGAACAACCATTCAAAGTCAAGAAATGAAAAGAGTAATAATGTCCTGGAACATACTGTTCTAATTGCCTTTTGTTCTCTGCCACTCTCAGTGCCGGAATGGAAAGGAAGCTTGGGAAAAAGTGGCTGGAATTGTTGTTTTTTTGTTGTTGAACTTCTATACACAGTATGATTTCAAGGAAGCCATAAGGATGGTCTCTCTTTGGCCAACAATAAAAGTACTCTTTAGGAAAGCAAGACATTTTGTAAGGGACAATTTAAAGTAAGATGAGAACCTTGTTCCTGGGCCAAATGATGGAACAAAACCAAGGCAGTAATATTTGTAGGAGGGCCACATGGTTCACTTTCTTTCACTCTCATGCTTTAAATCCACTGTTCTCAACCAGGGTTCCCTCAAGGAACAGCAGGCGGTCAGTTCAGAAGATATAATAAACCTTGCATTTTCTGAAATGCTTAAATCATGACATTTCTAACTGTTAAATAATTTTAAACTTTCAAACTAATTATCTTTTAAGCAATATTTAATGTAGTAATGTGAAATTTTATTCTTAATGAAAGTTATTATAAAGGGTTACCAACAAAATCTAGCTTTTTTTATACATATATATTTTTTTAGCTTTCAGGTCACAAGTTTAGAATTGCTACTTTCTCTCTTATTCATTATTTTATTAATTTATTTAGAATGTATTTATTTTTTGCAAAAATCTTTCAAGTATTAAAGACTGGTTTATATAGAAAATGCATGCTCAACACAAAATACAGGAAATAACATTTAGAATGCTGGTGTATCTCACCTGCCCATTTCCCCAGAGTGGTGAAAAAAGACTCAGGAAGAGGACAGAAGAGCTTCGGGACAAGCATCATAAACAGGCATACTAATTTCCCTCCAAAAACCAGGACAGCACAAGTCCCGGTCAAGATGAAGATAATCTCAGCGAGCGTCATGACGGCTTTTCTCAAGGCTTAAAGTGAGTCCTTCCTGCTATCTTGGCCCCTCTTTTTACTGCCACAGTTCTCTCATTCTCTTATTTAATCTGACTACAAGCTTCAAAACCCAGTGCTGACAGCTCCCTCAGCCAATCAGAATCTTCTCTGCCCATTCTCACCAGGATAGAATTCACATTCCTCATTTTTTTGTGACTGTTGTGGCATTTAGTGCGAGTAAGCTCACCTATTGTCATCCAAATCCCAGAGTGGAGGGAGTTTAAGTGACTTACCTTGTGTCACAGAATGTAGGCTCGTTCTGGACTGAGGAATCACATTTCAGCACTTAAATCCTTTCACTGCTAACTCGATCTTACAGAACTGATTTGAAATGTCTTCGTGGTGTTGTCCCTACTTTGGCAATATTGTCGCTAATCTAGCCAGATCAGGCATATCATTTAACTAAAGGCTGCCCAAAACACCAAAGGTTAAACACTGCCAAAAAAGTGGACTTTAGTCACTATTGTCCCAAGCTGTTGAACTCTCTGACAAACTATAAACTATTCACTATACCTGGCACTTTTAGAACTTTTTTTCATCTTGTAAATTTTCAGTTAATTAGATTTTTTTCTTATATTATTACTTGTGTATGAGAATCAGTTCTTTTTTCTGTCATTTTAATTTTAGTTAAAGGTTTAGTCATGTTTCTTTTTAAAATTAATTTATCTATATAGATTTAATTTATTGTATTAAGTTAAATTGAAATGAGAAATGCTGCCTATAGGCAACTGAATTAAAAAAGTTTTTTATATTTAGTTCATGTTTATTTTATTTCAAGTAACAATTTTTTTATGGGTTTAGCTTCAGCTGTATTACGAATGTATTAATTATTGATTTAAAAATACATCTTCTCATGTTACAGTAATAAGGCATGCTTATTCAAAAAAGGATTTTACAATTTGTGAATTCAAATCTGGGTGATGCTAACGTGAAGGGTGATATTTTATTGATAGTTTATCAGTAAGAGCATCCAGACTCACCTATTTGTATCCACACTTACCTTTTTTCATGGGAACACAGAAAGGTACTGACTAATTGTCAGCTTTTGCAACATGATTTACTGCAAATGTGCACCGCTTACCTTATTTGTCGACATTGAGCTTTCACAATTATTAAACTTGTGAAAAAGGTCAACATTCGCTCTATATTTCATCATCACACTAAATGCCATTCTCTTGCTCTCGTGAGCCCTGTCTAGCACATCTGTCTAGCACATCTGTCTGGCACATCTGTCTAGCACATCTGTCTGGCAGCTCTCTGGTATCAGGGACTCAGGATTTAAGCAGCTCCAGCGCTATCTAGTGGGTTAAAAAATCATGCCCTACAGCCCAACGTATAAAACGTGTTACCTTACTGCTTGCTCCATTATCTATTAATTGCCAGAAAGGTAAGATAAATTATGCGAGTTGACTCAAATGTAAAACTCACTCATGTATTTACTGAAGAAAAGCTCTGCAGCTTAACAAGTTTCATAGAAGGGCTTTGTTGGCCCACTCAGCTTGAACTGTTTTCTGCCTCATTACTCATTCCTTAGTAACCGGGTTGTTATATGATTCAAGCTGGATGTTATTTGTAAGATGGAGACGTTTAAAATGTTCACTGTGGTATTTTTTATTTGATGTAACGTTAGGCCTAATAGATTTCTGCTGGCCAGGCATCCAAGACGTCGTACTAAATCAATATTTGCATGTGGTCATGAAACAGCAGAGGGCGCTGTTCACCAGGTTTGGGATTTTTCCTCTTCCATGTACTTGGACGAAAAATCTCAATACAACTATCAAGCCCTAGAATCATTTAAATGTATTTAAATATTTAAATGGACACTATATATATGCCTATAGTTTATATTGTCGTATCAAAAATGATCTCTTATAGCAGCACTTTGAAATAACGTGTCTTTGATACAAGGTCTATTTTAGAGTAAACCTATGGCACGTAATTCAGTCGTAATGAACAGAGAAAATAATTATTCCTAAATGTTAATATTCGGATGATGTATGTCTAGGATGAGCTCAGTGAACTTGTCTTGTTGCTCTTCTGAAGGGGTCTCGTGTAGCTGTGTCCGACTCGTAAACGAATCCCTCTATCCAGTCGATTCTGTTCAACGAATCTTTCGAATCACAAGACTGGTCTGAACGACTCATTCACGAAAATCAATTATTTAAAATATTAAAATGAATAGATATATGAATTAGATTAAAACAGTATTTAAATCAAATGCAAAACATACTTAGGTTCTAAATGACTTTAATGTTTTTTATGCGAAGAATAAAAAAAAAGAACCGAATCATTAAAAGAACCGACACGCGGAAAGGATTCGGACTCCCTATCACTCACTAGTCTCGTGTGGCGCGCATGTGTTGAGAACGAGCGAATGCTGTTATGTAACAGTGCGTATGCTGACATCTACCTGCCCACTTTCTGAGACATAAAACATATCAATATTACAAATAACGTAATGGTACCTAATGTATTCTTATCCTAATCGAGCTTCATTATGGATAAGAATCGATCGGTCGTCACGTGATCCAGACAACATTGTTTTCTCAGACAAACAACGACCTCGTGCACCCACCAGAATACATTTCTATAACAGCCATATCTAAAACAGCCCATAATAAACCTAACAAAAGCCCATCTGCTTAAATCCGCAGCCATTTGGTTGATACTTGAGCTGAAGGGGGACCGGACGTTGTATTGACGGGTTCTCCACTCGTTCTTTCCCATTTTTTCTCCGTACACGGAAAGCTCCTGCCCCCTGATCCCTCAAGCGCCCGGATGCACACCAGCAACAGTCAGTCAGTCAG